GCATTCGGGCACTGGATGCATGCTGCGCAAGCGCTGCTGCACTAATTGCTGACCAGGCCCACACGCTCACGGGCGAGCTGGATGAGCAGGCAGCCATAGCTGAGCTGCGCTGCACTATGCTGGATGGGCGCATGGTGGTCCTTGGGTGCAAGTGGCATCTGTGAGTGGGGGATCGAGGTTGTGAGTGATACGAGAGACATACCTGGTGCTTGAGGCGAACGGCATTGGCCGAGATTTGCTCGTACTTTGGGGAGCTGTTGACGTCACCAGCGGCATTGTCGATGGGCTAGATAGGATCTGCAATTTTTAGTCTGGGCGCAGAGCGCCAGATAGGATGTCGACATTGGTTCTTTGTTGATGATGATGAGACTATTCCAACATTGTCACTTATGAGCTTTTGCTGTGCTCTTATTTGGTGGAACTCGTGTTGCAATTCTGCTTTTGGTTCGAGGTCACTACTATCTGGACTCATGTGTATGATGCTGCTTGGTGTCTGGAGTTTGCTATCGCTCATTTTCCTTGCATAATTAAAAAAAAATAAAAAAATCCTTGCCAGAATGGGTGGTCAAAACTAGATTTTTTTTTTTTTCCCTTCTTTTCTTTTTGTTTTTTCCCAACAGCTCACTCTTGGGTTTTGGCCCTTTTTGGCCAACTGGCGAAACTGCTGTTCCCTTCTCTTTCAGATTGGTTCTTGGAAGGTGGCCTCTGTGTTCTCTTGCAGAGAGGTTTGGTGATTAAGAGACTTTTTCTCTCAAATTCTCATTCAGGACTTGCACTGCCTTTTTTTTTTTTTTTTTGAGATTATAATAAAGTAGAGATTGATGATGACTAAGAACTCACATACTACCCTAACCCTAATCTCAGGTATTCATACCAACCAGCCAATCTCTGCAGAGCCAATACTGTGTACCAACCAAGCCTCTACCCGGTCTCACACCCCAATCTAGCTAGGTTACAGGGCAGTGCCACCCACCCCAGCGCCAACCCTCATCGTCCAGATTGTAGCCTTTGGCCAAGTATTATGATTGCCTTCCGCCCTCAGCAATCCCCAGCTCCTATGAAGGTTACAGGGCGATGCCCCAGCACCGGTCAGCATCGTTCTTAAGCAAAGAGCTGGCCGAACTCACACGCCGGGCAGCCTCAACAATGGCGAACGAGGTGGAGTTGATGATGGCCATAAAATGCGCTCGGAAAAAAAAAAGGACAATGCAGGTGCAGCCGGCGATGCGAACTGACACACATAGTTACTGCAGAAAACGAATAGCTTGGGCCCGTTAGTCAGGGGCTGAATATGGGGGGTGCCCGATGACTGCGCCCTTCTTTGAAGGCCGCCACCCACCCTTGAAGGAGAGGGGGTTAACGGAGGCCCGAATTTTCAGAAAAAATGGGACCAAAAAAAAAGAAAAAACACACAAAAAAATTTGACCCCCAAACCCTAATTTCAGTTTTGGGCCTGTTAGTCAGGGGCTGAAATTGGGGGGTTCCCATTAAACCACCAGTACTTGGCCCAGCTATTGATGCCGAGCCGGGAAACACCCTGCGCGCCAAGTTTTGCCGAGCCACGGCCTCGTTGTTTCGATTCTCTTTTGGCTGGTGCCTCCAGCCATTGTGGTCCGGTAGGCCGAAGCCCATCTGAGTCAGTCGCGGCGTGTTAACGGGAAACGCCCGCGGCCGATGTATGGGCCAAGTACTGGTGGTCTAACCAGAAGTGCCTTGAAGCCCCGATTGATGTTAGGGTCTTGTTAGACACTCCTAAAATTTCCTGTTTTTAGGACTGCGTCTTGGTTGCACGCAATCCTAAATCGGACGCGGGAATCGAAAATGTGAAAACGGCATTAGGACTCGTCCTAAAAGATTTAGGATTCCCCAGCCAAATTGTCCTAAATTTTCCAGTAGCCCCGGACCTACTGAAAAATTTAGGATTCCCGCGTTTCACGGAGTCGTCGCGTCGCGAGAATGGCACCGTCGACACGGAGGTGGTGGTCCAGGAGAGGTCCGTCGGGTCGGTGGGCGGACATCGAAGGTTTTCTGCCGGTTGACGACGGCAACGGCCCCCACGGGTGGCCGTTGGCCGGTGGGGTGGAGCGCGGTGGGCGAAGCATGGCCTGGCTCGCGGGCGTTGAGGACCGTTGGCTCGGGTGAGGGCAACGGAGGAGTCCCCAAACGTGCGCACGACAACACACGGAGGCTATCGTGGGCGCCAACGGTCACTTTTTTGAATCGCAGGCGGCATCTGTTACGGAATTCGCCAGCGCTCGATCCCTGGTCTATCTTTTGCTGTTTCGGCTGCATCCCGTTTTCGGCCTAGCACCCTTTTTCCAAACCCCTCCTTTGGTACCGTAGGATTTTGGACAACTGGCGCCATGCTGCAATTCGGGCGCCACTTTCAAATACTGCATTTTTCAGTTCTGCCCTCAGGGCCTTTGCAGAAATGCCCTTGGTACCGTACGTGTCACCGGTACTTATACCGGCTCCCCGTACGGTACGGGCACCAGTCTCGTACCAGTTCTCTGCTGCTGTACTCGTACTTAGTGTGACTTGCTGTTTTCGGCATTCGGGAATCCAAGACTTCGACTTTGTGCCTTGCCACTGTGTCTGCGTCCGATCCTCAGTCCGAGTCCGTCGTGTCGAGTGAGTGAGTGTGTGTGTGTGCTCTCACTCTCTCCCTCTCTCTCCTCTCCCTCGGCTCACCCTCAGCCTCACGCTCGTTACATCATCGTTTGTCGTCTTCGCTGGCGGTCGGCGGCATATGAAGGCCCAACGTCCTTGTCCGCGGCCTTGTGAGGAGAAAGTTCAGCACGACGTCATGTAAAAGGTCGCCTGTCGACGTCGAATTCATGGCAGACATGTAGAGGAGATTGCCTCTGCTGCTTCTCGTTGTCGTCGTCTTCCTGTTTGTCGTCTTCCTCCACGTGTGCTTGTCGTGTCGGCCGTGGAAGCAACGTCGCAAGCGCAGGGCGTCAACGAAACGCGGTGTGCAGGTACGTGCTGTTCCGCCCATGGCGGGCATGCAGGTAGGTACACGCTGTTCCGCCTGCGGCTGAGGGCGGAAGAAGACCTCCGACGACGGAGCCCTCAAGGCGGTACGACCCCTCCATGTACAACCATCTGCCGTCGTAGGAGACGCCGCCGCCTCTCTCGGATGAGGAGTCGGAGGGGGATGGACTTCCAATGTTTCCTCTCGCCAGCGGGTCGACGCAGCTGTTGTCGCAGACGGTGCTCGCAGGCAGGTCCGCAAGCAACGGACGCGGCGAGTACACGACACTCCTGCAACAGGGATTGGGAGACGACGACGACGGGGGAGTTGATCTCCGGTTCGGGTTGTCTTCAGGCGGTGGTAGGGAGGCGAGCCGCACGTTCATCATCGACGCCCATCCTTCACCGCGTGGCGTTCAACAATCTGGAAGTCGGCATACAGAGCAGTCCACACTTCCTGACTGTACGTCCGTTTGTGTCGGTGTGAGGCCATCGTCAGCAGGCCAGCAGCATGGATCGAGTGCACTGTCCGCCGATCGATTGACAAACACCTTCCCCGAACGCAACGGAGTCGCAGTAGGGTCCCTGCGCATCGGCGGTACACTTCATTCGATGCCCAAAAGCACAATGCCGACCCAACCCGACCTCAGGGAGGACGGCACGTGCAGACCAGCGGTGCGTCAAACACCCAGTGTGGAGAACATCACACGAGGAGTGTCGAACATGCGGGCACAAAGCGATGGTGGCGACGACGATGGTGGTGGCGGTGACGATGCGGACGGGCGATTCGGGGAAGACGTGGAGGCAGGGGACGACGACAACGACATTCCTATTCGGTCTTTGGGGAAGACGGGCGGGAGGGGGAGAGGACGCAGCAGGGGTGCTGTTCGTGGTCGATCCGTTGGCCGTGGGGGCAGAGGTGGCGTCAACGATGACGGCGGGAGGTCTGCGACATACTGGTCCCCGAAAGAGCAAATCCAACTGGTGAGATGCAAGCGGGAGCAAGAGATGCACCTCGCCGGTCTCGGTCACAATTACGGGCGAATGCGGACCAAGGAGTGGAAGTGGGAAGATATTGCCAAGCGCATGGCGAACGCGGGGAGGCCGACAGACGCGAACAACTGCATGAAGAAGTGGGACAATATCTTCCAAAACTACAAGAAGATACAGAGGTTTCAGAATGCGAGTGGCCGACCAGATTTCTTCCGGCTATCGAATGAAGAAAGGAAGGAGCACAACTTCAAGTTCCGGATGGAGAGGGCGCTATACAATGAGATCCACATAGGCATGGTTGGCAACCACACAATTTTCCCTCCCAACATCGCCGACACTGGAAGTCCGGACTGGGTGCATCTGCCCAGGCGAGGAGCGGGTGCTGGGGAGTCTGTTGGTAGTGAGGGCGCTGGTGAAGGCCTCCCTGAAGAACGTTCTACTACGAGGGACTCCGACAGCAACGCTGCCAGCGGGGCTGGAGGCGGTAAGCGGAAGAATGCGCGTCAACAGGCGTTGGAGTCGATTGCTGATGTCATGGACCGCCATGGCGAWCTGATGTCGTCGACGATCGAATCATCTAGCAAGCGGCAATGCAGCATATTCACGAGGCAGTGCGACATACTAGAGCAGGAAGTTGCAGTCCAGAAAGCGCACTACGCGGCATCCGATGAGACGCAGAGGATGATGTGCCACGCGCTTTTGGAGATCGCTGCCGCCATCCGTGGTCGGTCGGCGACGTAGGGTGCATGGTGTGTGTGTGTGTGATAGTGAGTGTCAGTGTGTGCGGGTGTCCTCCACACAGTTGTATGGGTAGTTGTGTTTAATTTTTTTTTCGTCATCATTTTGGACGGCAGTGCATCGTCTGCGTTTTCATGGCTCGTCAACCAGACAGCCGCGTGTGGAATGGGGTTTGAGGTTCCC